GAGGCGGCGGTGTGGGGGGCGGCGCCGACGGGCCGCACTCGGAGCAGCCGTTGCAGCCCCCCCAGGTGCACTTGTTACCCCAGTTCTGCGTCTTGTCCTCACAAAACGGCTTGCACATCGCTGGGGGCCTCGGCGGTGGTGGCGTCGGAGGCGGCGGTGTGGGGGGCGGCGCCGACGGTGGCGTCGGAGGCGGCGGTGTGGGGGGCGGCGCCGACGGTGGCGTCGGAGGCGGCGGTGTGGGCGGTGGTGGCGTCGGAGGCGGCGGTGTGGGGGGCGGCGCCGACGGTGAGGTTGGGTCGGTCGGAGGCGGCGGTGTGGGGGGCGGCGCCGACGGCAAAGGGGCCAGGCACTCGGTGCAGCCGGTGCAGCCAGTCCAGGTGCACTTGTCATCCCAGGCCTGCGTCTTGTCCTCACAAAACGGCTTGCACGCCGGCGCAGGGGCGGAGCACTCGGTGCAGCCGGTGCAGCCAGTCCAGGTGCACTTGTCAGTCCAGCCCTGCGTCTTGTCCTCACAAAACGGCTTGCACACCGGCGCAGGGGCGGAGCACTCGGTGCAGCCGGTGCAGCCAGTCCAGGTGCACTTGTCAGTCCAGCCCTGCGTCTTGTCCTCACAAAACGGCTTGCACACCGGCTCAGGGACGATGCACTCGGTGCAGCCGGTGCAGCCAGTCCAGGTGCACTTGTCATCCCAGGCCTGCGTCTTGTCCTCACAAAACGGCTTGCACACCGGCGCAGGGGCGGAGCACTCGGTGCAGCTGTAGCAGCCACCCCAGTCGCACTTTTTATCCCAGCCCTGCGTCTTGTCCCCACAATACGGGTTGCACGTCGCGTGTACGCCGACGGCGAGCGCCAGCGACATCACTGCACGAACCTGCGAAGTGTGCATAGCACTCCGTCGGGGCGAGTGCCGAATCCTTGTGGATCGGATAGCCAAAATCGGTCTAGATGCAGAATTTCACGCTGAATCGCATGGTGACCGCAAAACGCGCCAAAACGGCACGGAAGATTCCGGATCCGTAAGATTCCGCATGGCTTTCTCAAGGTGCCAAAACTCCTAAGTTTTTTTGGATGACTTCTAGATAGAGGCGCACGCACCCCAGAGGCGGAGAGCGGCGCCCGCGAGGCGCGGGCCGCAGTTGTTGCTGGCGGTGTTGGACCCGCTGTGTCTGTTGACACTTCGGAATCCGCGCCGCCGGCGGAGGAGGGGAAGGGCAGCTGCCTTTGCCCGCTGCCTGTTCCTGGTTGTACCCGCGTACCGTCCACACCCGGCCACGAACCCACACCGCAGTCTCCGGACGTTGCGGCGGGGGTCGGAGTCTGGACTCATTCTTCTTTTGCGAGGTCCCAGGAGCATGCGGTGGGCACGGCAACCGACGAGGAGGTCGAGGAGGAGGCAGCGGGGGCGGTTTCGGGCGCGGCGCGCGGCGCCGAGCCGGACGGCCCTCCCACTGCTCGCCAATCTCGCCCCTCCCACTACTCGGTTGCCCAGTGGGCGGCTATCCAGGCGGCTGAGAAGGCGGCATGGGACGCGGCGCGCTGCCCTAGGTTTAGGGCAGCTTTGGACGCTATGCCGGAACAGGGGCCGGGATGTTGCGACGGAGGGCCGGAGCTATGGGCTGGCGCCACGACGTTGCAGGACACGGAGGGGTGGAAGGAGCTGGTGAAGGCGGGAAAGATTCTGCTCTTCGACGAGGATCGGGCGGTGGTGATGCGATATATGCTCCTGGCGGGGGGCGCGGTCGAGGGCGCGGGGGTGGGTCGCGCAGTGCCCGCTGGCGGGGCAAGCGGCGAGGGGGTCGCCGGGGGGGTTGGGATGATGGGGATGGTCTTTTCGGCGAGCACTACGGTGCTCGCGGATTCGACTGTCCCCCCGATCGTGCCCACCTCCATGAGGACGACGGCGCCTTCTAAAGGTCCGTCGCAGGCTGTGCCTCTTTTGGTACCTGTGTCGAACCTGTGTGCTCTGCGAGAGAGTTCTTTTTGTTGAATTCTAGATAGAGATGAAGGGTGTAGTTACCTGTTAGTTAGGGGGTGGGGAAAGGGGGGAGGCAAAGCACAGCCCCCAGCGCAGGCGACGCAACGACTGCATGCACGCCTCTCCGTCCGTCGGGGGTTCCCCTCCGAATTTTCGCAGAAGAAAAAATTGCCACACGCCCTCTTTCAACACAAGGCACGGGACTGGCGCGCACTGGCACTAACAGGTAGCCGCCTACGTAAGCGACTCCTGCGAGGACGGCGAGGCACTTAGCTCCGTGCACTCGACCGCGCCTGTGATAGTACTAGCACGCGCCAGTTCGCACCTGTGTCGAGCCTGTCTGCTGTGAGAGAGAGTTATTTTGTTTAAATTCTCAGCACAGACCGGCGGTGGGTGAGTGAGTATTCTTGATACGAAACCACGACGACACACACCAGTCGACTCGCATCGGTTGCCTCCATGAACGGCGGAGCTATTCTCGCGTCCACACCACACCTGGCTCCAACTCCCATAACTCACACAGACCGGCGGTCGCTCGGCAACTATGGCTCATGTCCACCTCGTCAGCTC